ACAGTGGGCTTTAGAGCCTCTTAAGAAGGGGGCCCTCTCGAGCTCCCTCTAGTTGGAGGCTTCTCTGAGAGCAGTGTCGTGAGCGATGCATTTGCAGGACTGCACCTTCATCCTTTTACGAACAATTTTAATTTGAAGCTTTCGTGACTGCAGGAATCCATACATTTTGGTCATTTCGGTAGAGTCACGTAGGTATAGCAATGTCGTGGTCTGCTGGCCACAACGAGAGGGCTTCAGAAGAGAATCTGTATACTTTTGCTTGACTATAAGGCCCATAGTCTGGGCTTGCATGACCACAATCGACGCGAGCTAAGTCGACACAAAGAGCTGGACGTGTGAACAAGCTGCCACTGTTTCTGCTCGACCATGCGGCTGTGTGTTTGTTGTGAAACATTATGGGTAATAACACACAGAAGTGTTAGCTCACATATGGTATGATCCATTATTTTTTTTTATTAACAAGGCCCCGTGGTTTAGACGGAGTGCTCTTTGTGAAAAACATCCGGCCACCCAACAGCGTTTGTTTAGGCATCCTGAGTTATGCTGGTGAGACCTAAAGTTTGTTTTCATAAACAAACGTTGCTGGATAATATTGGTCTGGAATGTCAATAGGTGGAAGACATTATATATTTAACACGGGTCTGAAGATAAACTACATTTAGCCACTTACCGATCAGGGAACCCGGTTCTTGTCCGAGTTTTGGGAGGGCGTGTAAGAATGTTTACCACTGTTTCTGTTCAGCTTCTTGGGATGCTGTTGGTCGCATTTACACGCTATTCATAATAAAGGTGTTTGGGTTAGATCGCGTTTATTTATAATTGTGTCGTAACCCTCCACCACCCGACACGGCCAATCAGCAAAAAAAGTGTCACGTTGACAAAAGACAAATAATTCACTACTTCAGCCCACCGGTGTGTTGAAGAGTTAATCCACATTTACAGTTTGAGTACGACGTTTCGCTGGTAAATACATCCAGCATCATCGGGCAATTCGCCAGAATGGTAAAGCCCTCGCTTGCTCCCGGTTTTATATAGAGCAGCAGGGTGACGTCATCACTTAACTCATATCAGGTGCAGTGATTAGAGGCGGAGGGGGGGTATTGTAATTATATAATCGATTAGTAATCAGTCATTGGTTATGATTAGTAATGAGTTGTAGATTAGTAATTCTTTAAATCAAAATGTAATGTGTATTTTTTAATAATACGCTTCCAGGCCGCACTAAATGTGGATTAACTCTTCAACACACCGGTGGGCTGAAGTAGTGAATTATTTGTCTTTTGTCAACGTGACACTTTTTTTGCTGATTGGCCGTGTCGGGTGGTGGAGGGTTACGACACATTTATAAATAAACGCGATCTAACCCAAAAACCTTTATTATGAATAATATTGGTCGCGAAAGCCTACGTGTTTACACGCTATATTAAATACAAAGTGCAATTGTAAAAAAGTCACGTGACTAACGATATATACCCTGTGGATTTACCACGAAATTAGTGACCGCTGTGGTTTGAAATCACTCTGATTAGTGGGGGGAGGGGGTTATCTCAACACGGGTCCAAAATCCCAGATCGCCAAGTGGTCAGCAACAAACAAGCACTATTGAAACTGTTATAGATAAGATTCGAATTGCGTGTCTTGAATTGAGAAAAGGTTATAAGAACTTGGATAAAAAGATGATGGGGAGGTTATTCCAAAGTCGCGCAAGTGCCATGGATAAGGAAGCAGAAAGAGATTTTAAGTGTTTGTGACCTGCAACTCGTGCAAATTGTAACACTTGTAAACGTCCTTTCAGCAAACAAAACAAAACCCCCAGCGCGGCCACTTCAATGGAGTGTGCTTGACTCGTACACCGAGACTGGGTGCATCTGCTTCCTGTTAATTTGCATGCTGCTGGGATCGTTGTTTTCGTTTGACAGTCGTGCAAGATTAATCACGAAACGGGTGCCTATTTACCTGCGCGCATATAGATGCCGTCATTACACACCGTAGGCGAACGCAGCACTCGCCCCTGCCCAGCCGCCTCCACACTCGCCTTCTTTCTCAGTCGTGCATTATTCGGGTCACCGCCTTTCTCCGGATTGTAAGACGCCCCGGGAAGTAAGACGCATCCCGAAGCGCGTTCGCAGTGTCAAACAAAAATGCTATACAAACCTGGTCACACATGGACACACTCCTACCGGACCTACCGGTTTATAAGACGCACTCCCCCCCCCCCCCCCGCAACGTTTGCTTAAAATACAGCAGGGGGAAATGCGTCTCAGAATCTGGAGAATAGGTCATTGTGGTAGTTGGGGGGAAATACGCAGTCCTTGTTTTCCAATTAATGAGCACATGGCTAAGTAGGATAATAGCCCACATGGCTGTGGGCGATTAAAGGGACTGTCACTGCGCGAGTGTAATAATTATCCGTACATGATGGCTCGCGAATTGGATGGACTTCGCATGGTCCAGGCTTACAAATTGCTCCCGGGAGTATTTGTGTGTGTGTGGAATGATGGCTTAATGTGGTGCTGGAAATGACAAAATGAAGAAGCCACATTCACGACCCGTTTTTTTTTCAGTTTGCGATAAATGTACGAGGAAATTACTCAACTAATAAATGACTTTAAAGTTCATTGCAACATTTTAATGTGTGACTTTAACGGGGTGGGGGGGGGAAGGTAGGGAAAAGGTGCAGACACGAGAAGGTGTTTCGTAATTTTAGCATTTGAATGAGGAATGAGAGAAGTGACCGTCGACTTGACATCTCAGCCAGCAAAGACCTGTTTTATTTCCCCCCCATGAACAAAAATAAAATACTCCCAATAAAAACGTAATTGGCCAAGCAGCTCCCACAGTGAAATAATAACTGTTACGAGATCTGACATTTCAGCGAGGCTATTGTGAGTAAACACAGCAAATATTCTCACACAAAATGCACGGGAAACAAACTGCCCTTCAAATTACACCTTGCACCTGTGGGTGCTCGCACACAATCACCACCTTCCCAGATTGTTTAAAAGTTTTAACATCAAGTCGAAAAACTATTTAAACTTTTCAAAATATCTACTTTTGGAACGTGCCCGAAGATCACTTTCAGCATATGACTGGTGACTGAAATGGGCAACACTGGAGGGTTTTATTTGTTTTGTTTTAAGGTTTCTTCAAGCTCCTCAGGCCAACAACAAACCTCACATTTGCAAATGCTGGAGTCCAAAGTGAAAGATGATACGGAGCGACAATCATCTGCAACCTTGATGTGTTTCTGCAGGTGGAGACGGGGCTTGATCTCACGGGCTGATGGTTTTGGTTGGCTGCCAAGTTGAACCTTTATGTCCACATTGCAGAGACGACAGCTGGAAGCTTCGCCCCCCCCCCCCCACGCCCATACACGCACCACACCCAGCATTATGAAAATATAATAGACATCGTTGAGGCTCAATGATAATTTAAATAGTATATTGCTCTTGATTTGAAGCTTTCGTGACTGCAGCAATCCATACTCTTTGGTTCTTTCGGTAAAGTCACGTAGGTAGAAAAAAGATGAGATCACGCAGTTTCGGTCGCAACACAAGCGTCCGTCTTCAGGTGACGGACGCTTGTGTTGCGACCGAAACTGCGTGATCTCATCTTTTTTCTACCTACGTGACTTTACCGAAAGAATCAAAGAGTGCGTTGCCGTGATGCTATCTGGGGCGGTGATGCGGTGACGGCGGCATGCTACGATCAAAGGCGGCCACGGGTTTGATACCCGCTCACAGCTTACATCAGTGGCGAGTGATATTTGAAATAGTCCACGATACCGCTCCCCACCTTAAACAAAACCGCATTGACCTGCGTGGTGAAGTATGGTCAAACAGCCTACAGTACATGACTGAACAGCTTTGGAGAGTTTTTCCTTCATTCAGCGGTGGATTGACAGAGGGCTGTACAATTAGTGCCACCCAGCCCGGGTGGCACCGTGAGAAATTTGCTGGACTCTAGACCAGTGGTGCTTCTTCTTAACAGGGGGTGCACGCTGCACCACCTGGGCTTACGAGATGCCCTTTCTGGGGGTGCGAGACATGGCCACATTTTTGTTCGAAGATAAATAATCGAAAACACAAATTAAGCACGGGCACGTAAGTATAACTACTTTGTTTCATAAAACCCTTTATGCATTTATTAACATATTTAATAAATGAGGATTGAGAACCCAAGGGGCTGCGGTAAAGGTTAAGAACCACTGCTCAAAAAAAATTTCGGAAGTTCGAATCCCAGCTGGAGGTCACCAAAACCCATCATGCGTGTGGAGTCTCTTTGCCACTTTATTGGTGGTTTATATCTTGGAGAACAGCTGCAACCATGGGAATGTGTCATTTCCACCGATGGCTCTGGGCCACCAAAGGGAGCAAGGAGACCACGTGCGCGAGTTTTGTTTGAACTTCTTCGTTCAGAGCAAATTCACCTCTCGAAACCGTTTCTCTTCTCGCGTTATATTGTGTACAATAAATGCACCTCCGGTATTAGAGCTGAAGAGAATCGTGTTATTAGCTACATACGAAGTAGGAGTGTAATGATGCATCATTTCATCAATTAATATTGATCCTTTAGCTCACGATGCATCACCATATTGCATGTGTAAAAAAATCAATGTTTGTTGGAATCATATATTATCTATGTACAGTAAAGGGTCCACGTGATTCCACTCTTGGGATTGGTTGCTAATTCATGAGTAAAGATTTGACTCGAGTCGACCGGCGATACTGAATCGCAACAATTCATGGCATTTGCGAGAAAGGTGAATTAATTATCTAGCACAGCGCCACCATGCAGCTGTCAAAATGATTTTGAATTATTATTATTAATGTTGTTGGCATTGTTTCAATTAAGTTCAGGTCCGCTTTTTGTTTACAATAGTGTTATCCAAATTGTGTCAAACAATGTTGCAAGGTTGTCATTTTCAACTTGTTTAATAATAATCTTAATAACAAAAATAATGTCTCTTCATGTATAAACAAAAAAGAGAGAGGCCGAGACAAAGAAGTCACTGTTTAAGCAGCATGATTGTTACAAAAACCAACATTTTCAGCAGCTGTCAAATTGTATTTACAGTCGACAACATGTAACAACAATAAACACAGCGTATGTACAAAGTGTCCATGTTTTTTGCAACACTTATTCTAATTATACACAATCAACAGAAGCTGCAGTTGGTGTAAACACGTCTTTGTTGTTTGTTTTTTCCTGCAGGCGAGACGGATCAATTATCGGCACAATTTGGTCCTCAGAGGTAATAACCAGCATGTCCAATGGCACACTCACTCCCTTCCGGGGCAAGGACCTTCTAAACATTAGCATACTTGACACTTCTCAAAAAAAACATATGTACATTAATATACAACCGCACAAACAGGAGTATGTTAAACGTGTGTGTCTGTGTACAATAGCTCAGTCTGAGAGCGAAACAAAGTCACGTAAAGAAGGCATAACCAAGAGACAAAATAATGCAATACACGCCATTACCTTTGTGAAACCCACCGACACAATAAATTAGACGGATGGTCAAATGCAGTGACCAAAAAAAAACATATTTTAGACATGACCGGGTGTGTTACAACAGTCGGGTGTATTGCAAATATGTGACGGCCTTGTAGTGCAAAGCTCTTTGCGTAAACAACACGTGTGTTGTTGTCGTTGTTCTCCGTCGCTTCCTTTGCCATTTGTTCTGTTGTTCTCATTATCCTTTGTGTTCAGTACGCGCCGGTCGCACTCCGTTCTCCTTCCTCCGAGAGCGCCCCTCACACGCGCAAGCCAAGCAGCCGTGTGCCAATTGTCCCACGAACGGCAATAACAACCGCCGTTGGCCACTGCGCTTGGGCCAGGCTAGGTGCACCAAGAGGCGACGTGAAGTGTCCAAGGCTCGCTGCTGGTAGGTCACGGGACATGACCCAGGTGCCGTGGGTTGACTGACTTGAGATGGCTGGCGGATGCACCACCTCTGCTCCCCACTGTGCCACCTCGTTGTTGTGAAGGCCGCTCCTCCGCCCCCCGTTGTTGTTGCTGGAGGGCGACTGCTTCCAACTGCCCGGAAGCAGCGTCCTTCACGAGCCTCCTCCACAGAGGCTGATCTTGACATAGCTGATACCAGCCATCGGCAAGTCCAATCAGATCCACATCCATCTGTACCGTATCAGTTCATCTGTTCTCTAGCCCATGCCACGTCCGTTTATCCCTCTCAATTCAGACAAACAGAAGCTTCTTTTAGCCTTCTGTGGCTGGGCATGCGGGTTACATGACCCAGTCAATGCAGCCTCACCTGCTGAAGGAGCTCACCGATGGGGCTGTGTGCACATGAACACACTAGTCCCATCATTGGAAGTGAGCCAACATAACAAACTGCCCCCCCCCCCCCACCGAGCTGACTCACGATTACACCAAGGACAATATGCCTTCCGAAACCATAGAATTGAAATGGAGTCTTACCGATGAGCAAGATGCCATTAATATGTTAATGCACCCTTCCTAAAGGCCAAATAATGTAGTTCTGCAGGCGAAAAGGCAGGATATTCGTGATGATGAAGTGATGTTTCTGTTTAACACCTGGGTTGGGCAAGTTTCTCATTATCAAGGTACGGTGAATGATAACGAACAGCATTTTCGCACGTGGTTTCTTTTGCTGCAGCGACTGCAAAGAAAAAAAACTCTGCTGCCCGTTTTTAAATGAAGCGATGAACAAAGTGTTTTACTGCGTGGAAGCAACGGGTTTGTTTTTTGCAGATTAATAAAGTGAACGCGTGCACGCACTGCTGTTGTACGAATCGCGGCTGCATTGGGAAGGCAATGGCAATAAATTATTATTAGATAATAATATTGTTATACTATTATCTAATAATAATTTATGTTACCGAGATTGGGGATTTGCCGCGGCATTTTTATCCCGCAGACAATATTTCACCACGATTGCGCAAAACGGGCACAAACACAGATTTAGAATAATCTCACGGAGAAATACGAGGCACAGTTTGAAGCTAACGCTCGCTTGGAGAAGTATGACCCACACATTGGCTGTTTAGATGCCACCGAATGCTGAGGAATATTTGGATGCGTAATAAATATACAACGGATGCACATAATCTGCTGTTAGGAGGATAGGACGTTAAGTTGAATTTATCTTGGTAATATTGTGAAATGTAAATAACTGGTCACCTTACTTGCTTTAACCAATCAGGTAGCAAGAGAAAAACTCTTATGTTTACGTCCTGTATATGAGTGATGAGTTTCACATTTTAGCTTAATTGAAGAATAATTTCGAATCTTTTCCAAATGTTCGAATAATTTACTTATTACATACCAAGTATTCACACTAACGATAGGGACGTCTCACACCATGCCACGTGGCATTGCTTTTAGGCGGCAAGAGCGTGGACGTGACGTCTAGTTTTTCGGATCGTCTGACATTTCGCGTCAAGGCTCTGTACTCCCAAATTATCGGCAAATCGGGGGACATCCCGAGCGTACATGAATCTCATTGAATGCAAACCACAAAAAAATGATCCAGGCGCTTGATGTGGTGTCAGTAGGCATAATTGAAAAAAGATGTAACATTTCACTCTCACACCACAGTATCTGCAGCACTTCAATTTCAATGCGTCACAAACACGCATTCGACGATATAAAATACTTCAGAACCAACAGACGTGCTCCCAGCAATAGATGGGAGCACTTTCTCATGGCATCGCATTTCCACTGCATGTCCTGCAACCTATTACACCCCAAATATATAATTTATAAACCTGATGGGCAATTATTTGCATCGGTCCTATTCCTAATTATCATTGGAGGTCTCGGCAAAAACCAAAACAGAGCAGTGGGTGACACTTCATCATAATTATGCCGTTTTTAGCGCGCGTTTCAACTACCGCGCTGGCAGATGGAATTGAACGGGCGACCCCTCTGGGTTGTGTGCTAACCATTATACCACGGCAGCATCCAGACTGCTACGAGCCGAAGACTTATACATGTCAAGCTTCAGAAGCATCATATGCCAAGACAACAACATTACGGGCCCAATCGGCGACCGTGTGCGTTATGTAGGCGTCGTGAGAAGCACCTTGGTTTCCGAGCAGGTGTGCAAAACGGGACTCGGTTGAATCGTGGGTTCCACTTGCACAAACACCTCCGTTGTTGACATCAAGAAATTGTACTGCTCGACCGATAATGAATTAAGTGTTTCTTAGGCATGCCTCCCCTGCAGGCATAGTAACCTGTTGCCATTCATCAAGCGTGTACGTGTGCGTGCATGTATTATTGGGATGATGGGGCTGCTTCAGTTGAGTAACGTGTACTGTCTGTGCGTCCTTTCTCAGGGACCACAAAGATTACCACTGGAAATTTGTGCCAATGTTATCCAAATCTTTTGTGTTACACTTATCAGAAAATGTAGCGCGTATCATACACTAATTTGATAAAATTCAAATAGAAACAAAATAAACGGTTCTTTTCCGAGCACAGCCATGATGCTTACTTTTTAGCGTGCACCTGAAAAAGTAAACATCAACGAATCAAACACATGTATTAGCTTCCTATTACGTGACGTGTACTGGACTTTTCGGACTGCGATCAGCTGTTGGCACGTCGACTGTAGGAGAGCGGCAACGAATGCACTCGAAAGTCGATGCTTAGAAAGACAATCAACACCGGGGCAGCACCTTCCGTATAAGCACTTCCAATATTTACCACAATCCGTATTTTTTTTGCGTGCGCATGAGTGAAGGAAAATAAACAACAACAACAACAAGTGCACAGCACCGCGAAAGTCATGGCAAGACGACAAAGCCACCGGTCGCTTCTCGAGTAGGCAGCTGTGCCGAGACATGGCAAGGCAATGGGCACGGGCGAGGGGCTGGGAGCGGAGGGGCTGAGGGGCTGAGGGGAAGAGGTTGGGATGGGATGCGAAGGGAAGGACAGAGCAGCGTTTGGGCAAGGGAGATAAGGGCAGGCGAGGGGATTTGAGGCGAGGCAAGGGGGTGGAATGAGATGGGATGCGAGGGGATGGGAGAGAGCAGGGAAGGGCAGGAGAGGTGAGGAGACGAGAGATGATTGGAGGGCAGGCGAGGTGGGGGGAGGGCTAAGGTGGCGGGCAAGGCAGGCGAGGGGTGGCTACAGGACGGTTTCCCGAAGGACGCCCACGTGGCTGTGCGGTCGGCTCTGCTCGTCCGATCGCTGCCGCCGGCCCTCCAGGCCCGGCTCGCTGAGGTTCCCGCAGCTGCGGGGAGACGTGGCGGCAGCCCGGCCGTCCCGCGTTGGGGACAGGGGGCTCGTGCGCACCGACTGCGTCTGGACCATCACCTCATTCATTCACAATTGGTGGAGAGGGGGAAACACGCAGAGAAACACGATAATGCCACGTATAAATATAACGCGACACTCTTCAGAAAGAGTTTTTTTTTTGGTGTGATACTGCATTGGGCCGTGGTGCACAAGCACAAATAACACAAACTCCACACATTCGTCAATGGCACTGCCCTAAAAAATAAAAATAACAATTTTACATTGTTCATCTAGAAACATTCTTAAGGCTCCGTAGTGCATAGCACAGGGCCCCATGGTGTGTGTATATATATAGTGTAGTCTCCAACTATTAGTCTGGCCTCTCTGGCTCTCTGCTGTGAAGAAAAGCCATTGCCTGAAGTGCTGCCCAAAATATTTTTTGCTCCATTTTGGACGGCGATGTTAATGAATGCGTCGAGTATTTTTTTGGTAAGAAATGGTAGGTTGGCTTGAACAGCGCACGTCGCAAAAAAAAAATCACCTTGGGAGGGGGCGATTAAAATTGTTCCACCCCCAGTGAGTGCACGCGTGTGTTAGACACATCGCAATGTTATACACATTGCTGCAGTAAACATTTACTATTTTGTCACAACATAAACAGAGACAGTGAGAGGGTCACATGGATTTGAGAACGTACCCAATTTGGAAGCATCACATCGACTGTTATGTATGTGTAAAGACCATGTCAGCAAGTCTCGATGTGAAGACAGGGTGCAAAGACAAGGCGCCAGCAAGTCTGGAGGATCTTGGTTGAGAATTCCCCAGAGGTCCTTGATTGGGGAATTCCCCAGAGTGTCCAAAATAGACGGCTGGGGAAATTCCCCCAGAGAATCCACGAGGATAAAAGCAGGGCAAGAAGGCATGTTCGGGGCTGTCGAGAGGGACTCGCTGTCTTCACGTCGTCACTGTCTGCTCGGTCATACGATCTCCACGTCGGCATTGTCTCATGACGAAGTGGTCCTAAACTGCATCACGTGCAATAAAAGAAACCTCTACAGCTCGAGTCCGGAGTCATTACGTATGTATATTGATGATGATGTGCATCGTCGGGTGTAGCTGCACATCGACGAAATTAGTGTGTGATAACCAACTCCAGACTGGTGCGCAGTACTCTGCCATTCAGTATGTATATGTTTTGAACTTCTTTCGCACCGTACGTGGCCAACCGTGTGCTAATCGGAGGTGCGGGGGAAGGACAACAAATTAAACACAAAGAGCAGTTTCTCAAGAAGAGTGCATGAGCTTGGGCAGGACACGTCGCTCGAAGCAATGATGGCCGGCGTCTAAGACTAGAGAAGAGAAGAGGGTTGACAACCCGAGGGAGTGACCTCACCCGAGATTCCATCTACAGGGACTGCTCTACTTACGAACATTCGACTTACGAACTTTCAGAGATACAAACAAACCTGTCCGTATGTCCAGTTGCCTGTTCGGACCGAGAGTCGTAAGTTAACAACCGCCTCACAATAGATGGCAGCAGTGGCATCTACATCTACAGAACATGAAGAACCAGTGGCATCTACATCTCCAGGAGATTATATAACTTTTAAAGCCATTCCCTGTGTTTAGTGTACACGCCGTACAACATGCTTGGAATCGACAGACGTAAAGCTGGACTTATGAACAAATCGACTTACGAACAGACCTCTGGAACCTAACACGTTCGTAAGTAGAGGAGTCCCTGAACTGTTGAGACGGAGCGAAGGAGTCGGCTTGTTTGGAGGTGCGGGGTGGAGCGTCAACAACGCAGGACCCATGAGATATGGCGACGGCTGATGTAGGCCTTCATTGAGTCATGGATTCCTAACGGCTGATGGGTGATACTTAATACACCCATTCGTCCTACCTTCTATTTATTTTATTTTTTACAAGTCTTAAGATCGCTTTCATTCGTTCAATCCTGTAAGTGCACTTTTTGTCATAAGTAAATTACTGCTTTGGTCTACGGCAAAATGCAGAAAGAAAATACACCCCTATCACGTTGGGGATTTCAATGCGCACAGTATATTCAATAGATAACAATTCCCTTCCAGGGCCCAGGCTGCTTATTCCATTGGCTTTCCGCCACTTCATGCATGTCCACTAGAGTCTTGTTTTTATAAGCATGGCACAAGTAAACAATGAAATCGATTTAAAATCAAATTAAGAAATGTATGACTACACTGTAGGGTTTCACAGTTTGCGGGCTATTAAAATGTGCACATTATAAAGAGGCAATTTTTCTGATTTCTTTTCACGGAGCAAAATTGCAAATGATTGAAATTTAACTTGCGCCTAGAGCACCGGTTAAAAGCAATCACGGTTGGTAGCATTTCTTTGAAACCTCCTTTGGCCGAACACATTGAACTGAAAAAATGCAACCGCTCCAAAATGTAATCAAAAGAGACAGTGCACGTAATCAGAATTAAGCCCAAAGGAGACAGAAAAAAGTGCAGTGCATTTATCAGTGCAATCAATTAGAAGAGTTGAAAATAAGCAGGATTGATCTGCAATCATTAAATTATATTTGAGGAGTGGATTTTTTTGCAATTGTCAATAACCAAAGGTATTTTTTGATGAATGTTAAGGATTACGGATGCTATATATGAAGCGGATGTTTTGATCTTGTCAGCAAAAAAAGATGTCCTACTTTGACATTCAACACGTGAGAAGCAAATCTATTAAATTTTCACCGTCTGCTCCCGTTTGATTTTTTTCCAGACAATCAGAACTATAGAATTAAGACCAACGTACACAGATCTTCAAATCCCTCTGGGGTATCGTCTCAACCCATCAGCTCTCTGGGGTCAAGAAAATTAGGACCGTTTTTTTTGGCCATCAACATTGGTTGTCATTAGGAGGAGATTGAAGCCTGGCATTCAAATGGAATTTCCAGCACTGGCTCAAGACCACCAGCAGAGATGAGCACCCCCCAGTACTCATTTGAAAATAAAAACTCAGATTGTATGTACACGCTCTGAATTAAATACATACGTCTTAACATCGCAATGCGCCAGGAATGTGTGAACAATTATCCTTCACGTTGACTGGGTGACTTGAAAAGTGTCACGGCAGCAAGCTGCCCTCCGGTCTGGAGCTCTACGATGTCCTCTCGGACGTGTTCCATGCCGAAGCAACATTGAACACAGCAGGTAACGTCTACTGTAGAGGCCGACCGAAACTGAATTTCTGGTTTCGGCCGAAACCGAAAGTAAAAAAAAATACTTTCGGCCAATACTGAAAGTTTATCTCCGAGACCGAAACAGAAAGGTACATAACCGAAGTTACCGAACACAAGATTGATTAAATATGTCATGATGCAATGCTACTTTAATCAAAAAGAAATCTAGAACTAATCATTCAGAGCTAAATATAAAATCTTGAGGTGTTACTTACTCAGTAATTATATCCAAACAAACGAATGTTGTAGTTAAGAAACAACAGTTTTTCCGCATTCAGCCAGACAGGCTGCCGTCTGTTGACCGGTCGTATCGACATTAGCAGACCATGGTTGCGGCTGTAACCTCGCTCCCAAGCTGCTGCTGCTGCTGCTGCCGTGTGTGTTTGTGTGTTTGTGTGTACGTGTGTGTATGTGTGTACGTGTGTGTGTTTGTGTGTGTGTACGTGTGTGTGTGTGTTTGCAGCCTATCGCATAGGATTGCCTAGCGCCGACTGACCGGCCGATAGGCAGAGTGATAGACGTAGCACGAGCGTTAGATTCTCAATATAGATCTTCGGTTGACGAATGACAACCGAAAGTCAATATCAGTTTCAGCCGAAACCGAAACCAGACTGAAAGTAAAAAAATTTACTTTCGGCCGAAACCAAAAGTAAACCGAAAGTAAAAAATTGACTTTCAGCCGAAACCGAAAGTATGCTAAAAGAGGCCATTTGCCAACTTTAGGCGCCGAAACCGAATTTCGGTCGGCCTCTAGTCCACTGCATTGCTCTTCACTTCGCACGACGTCGCTTCCGACGTTCCTACCTGATCGAGGACGCTGGCGCTGAGGATCGCCTCCTCCATGTGCCTCTCGTCCGACGCGATCACAGACTTGATGTCGTTGACCACGTGACGTACGTCGGGCGGCAGGTCACCGCTGGAGCTCTCGAGGAAGCGAGACACGAGGATCTTGGTGTCCTCGTAGGTTTGCAGGTCCACGAGCGAGCGAGGCCGCTCCCTGGGAGCCTCCGGCGGTGGGCTCGTTCGAAAGGACTGCGCAGAGCCCGTGCCGGCGTTCCGGACTCCCGGCTCGGACGGGCAGATGTCATCAAGCACGTCACAGCAGAGTCCCTCTTCTACGTCCACGTTAGGGGATAGCGAGCCGGAGCTCAACTGGCCACCTCTGTCTGTAAAACGAGAACGCCGTGTGAAATGCTGCCGAGGCTGTGCCGTGCGGCTCGTCGATGTGCTTTAAAAGGGTTGTAGAGAGTGTTGTTCGGCAGGATGTCCGACGTTTCGCCGAAGAAGCACGCGGAGCGAAACATCGGACATCGTAGCGGACGTAATTTCAGCTGGAGCAGTCCGGAGCTAAACTCCAGAAAATATTTGTTCAGAATATATTTCCGCAACATTATCCGGGGTACGCCCTACTTCATGACCCTCCACCACTCTCCAACCTCAGGCCATTTGGGCCCCAGAAACTATTCAATGAGAAATTAAGCCCTGACATCATGCGAAAGAGCATGCAGTACAACCCAGAAAACACACCGGTGAGCTATATTGGCGGCATTTGGTTCAAATAATGTACAAACAGTGACGTAGATTGTACGTGTGTGTGTGCGTACATTTGTGTGGTACGCTCAAGGAGAAGAGGGCAACAATGTGTATGACAAAGGAGCACAAAGGACGCATTGTATAGACCGAACACAACTCTTACTTTGTAGCTTCCACATTTGCGGAAACCCGCCTCTCTACTTTGAGCAAACAACACTGACAAGGAACAAGGGTAATTTAAAATATATAATCCATTTTTTTCACTCTGAAAAAAGGGCTTTTATAAAGCAAACTGTCAAAACTTGTTTTATTCTTTAGAGGAATTAAGCTAACATAATCCTAAGCAATCAACCAAAATCCACAATTAAATGAACACATCTTCCCAGAGGAACTTAAAAAAACACATGTGTTTGCTATTGCTATTCAAGCACAACATCGAGAGTAAATAAGCAAAATGCGGTTGTTGTTTCAGTGCCAAATCTCCGTTTGCGCATTAGGCTTTCTCCAATTAAGCTGCTCACCCAACCAACCACACTGACAGCATCTGGCAGGGTGGCCCAGGCTTGGAGCTAATGATCCTCCTGCAGGCTCACCACCCAGACCGCCTGATAAATGGCTATGCAACCTGCCCAGAGATGGGCACATTTAAACCCGGCTCTAAAGGGCATAAATGGAGCGGAAAGTATGTGCATTAGCCCATATTGGAAAGTCAACAATTACGCACAATGGCATTGGTTGGGTGGGGGAGCCAAACGCATGGCAATTCTTCAGGAAAGAAGTAACCGATTCATGGAAGTATTTTCTTTTCTTACCCCAGGGATATGAACTCTGATGTCTACTTGAAGATACATTTCAGTGGCAAAGGTCATTTAAAGGTTTTCACTCTTGCAAATTCATGTTCAGCGTGCGTGCCTTTTCACCAATAACAATAATTACACTCTTTATACCGACGCTCATTCCGTGCATTTGTAACGCACACGTCCATTCTGGATGTCGAATTGGTATCTCGGAAAGAAAAAAAACACACACGCACACATCTTCAATTTGTTTTTAAATCGCTAATGACACATACCTCATCTGAATCGTAATGAAAGCCAAAACGGCGAACTCGTGTTCATGTTGCGAACGACAAAGGCCAGCACAATTCAATCATCTCTCGGTTAATCACCCACTGCCTTGCTCCATCTCCCATCTCTTTAGAGGGCGGGTTGTGGCGGAGGATGTGGGGGATACGACGTCTGATTGATGTCTTCTGGGGGCCTCATTAATCACGCTTAAAAGTATCTGGTTCGGGCGAGCCATTAGCCCTGCCACTGACTGCCACGGCGGAGAGGAGGGGCAAACGAGCTCGTCCAGTCCTCCGTGCCACTGTTATGATATTCGGCCATCTGATCTCCCCTTGGAATTCAATACTCGACTTACAGTAGAGAATGGAGCTTTTCACAGACGTCTGAAATGACTGCAGGGTTTATTATTTACGTGCCCACTCCAATGAACCAATACGTGGTTTAATTTTATGCGTTAGGAGGAAAGGGTCAATTGTGAATGCACATCTAAACCTTTGATTTCCGCTTACGAATTACATTTCCAATCAAAGTATGCACCGCAGATCAAATATAGAGAGATTATATTAAAGCAAATGTAAGTTACGGATTGCAGGATTGAAAACTCGCTGTGAATTAAACAATCGGTTGCCTTTCTGTTTATTCCTGCAGGGAGAAAAAGTATGCCGTTTCTTTGTATGCACTGTATGCTATTTATGGGTGGAGCAGTAGCTAGCTCACCACTTTGAATCTTGTGACCCGAGTTCGATTCCCAGATGCAGATAACTCAGTGGGTAATATGTAAATCTGTACGGGTACCACTCGCACCCCCCACTTCTCTATGAACCCACACTGAAAATGATGGTGAAATATGGTCAAACATCCCCCACGACCGAACAGCTTGATCAATGGCCATGAATTAATAGGAAGAATGTGCACGTTCTGTGTAACAAAATAACTGCCCAAACGTTTGTACTAGATCCTGCTTGCGTGTAATATTTCAAAATTATACGATATTGTTCAATTAAAATATGCAAATAAAAAACTAAATACTAAACGTGCGTAAAGAAGAATGGAGAGACACATGCTTGGAGTTAAATGACAACATATGCCTCGTTGAACATAGCCTTTCAAAACTGTTGATAAAAGTGGGCTTGTGCAGCAGACGTCACAAGAATGGATGATGGTCGAAGGTCAAAGAATAATAACAGAGCGGTGGCCAAGGGATGGAACATGTCTGAATGGACGCCCTCCGGGGAGATGGAGCAATACAAATCAAATCTTGTACATGTGCTGGTTAGATTGTTGCATTGCTGGATAGATTGTTGCATTGCTGGATCATGGGAGGCTGAAGATAATAAAATATTATAAACACTTTGCATGAAACAATTTCTCTTTTATCGATGAAAAGCTGCAGGCAAATTCTACATTTTGTTTCCGCGTTGCCGAGTTAACCAAAATTTACCGACCGTAAAACATTCATGAATCGACGACAGAAAGCACGCACACAGTGGCACAATTAATCCTAGCTTCCTGAACACTTGCTGCTCACAACCCTGAACAACTAATAAAGTCACAGCTGTTTGTATCCGCGCGCAGTACAAGGGTGTGTGCCTTTTCGTCCACACGTTACACGGCCACGTGGACACAGTGGACAGCATATGGTCACTCGCGAGCGATTTGTAAATATTCAACACGCGTTAGACGCGGGCACGCGCTCTCTCGTGTGTTCACGACACGTTGTTCGTTGGCTATCACTCGCGGGATAACGAGTACATTTTAAAGGGTTCAACTTACATGGGCGTGAAACTCGCAGAGCATAGTCCACACATTGTTAACCTTGCAGTCGCATTCCTTTAACGGTCATTAAGCCCTATCAATCAATCAGTCGGTGCAGCAGTTAAATGCGGCCCGTGTCTATAGGGCACAAAGCTGTCGGGCACCTGTTGGGTTCACTTAAGCAGGCCCCAAAATTAACCAACAGCCAAGGCTGTTAGTAATTTGCAGTCTGCCATCACGCCCACTCGTTCGACCTACCCCACAAAGGCTCTCCATATGAAAGTGACATTCATTTGCGTGTCTTACTGGTAGAGTAACTGTAATCAGGATTCACCACACTTCCATCCCCTTTTTCTCTTGGCTTTAGTGTCACGGCCCTTACAAATAAAATGTTGGATTCGGCATTCGTCCAAAACCTCCAGAACCTATGCCTATGTTAAAAAAAATTTTTTTAATATTTTCTCCCAATTTGTTGGCTGGAGTACGATCGAACATCGACGTTTTTTGTATTTAATATCTAACATTTCCATAGATCTGGGCTTAAAAATGCAAAAGTAAGAAAACCAAACTGGCCCAAAAATTTCTCAATTGTAAGCATAATCTGAACAATATTTGCATGACAACTTTCAGCATTTTAGGCCATTTAGAACATCATGAGTCACTCATGACCTCCACCGCAGTGGTGAAATGTTAACTCCCTCGCCTGGGTTACAGGAGGTCGTGGGTACGATCCCGACCCTGACGCCTGTATATCTGGAGTTTGCATGTCCTCCCCGTAGTCATGTGGATTTTTCTCTAGGTTCTCCGATTTTTCCCTCCACATTTAGAAACATGCGTTTAGAGTATTTGGCTGCTATAAATTACCACATGATCAGCCACTTCCTTGAACTATTGTTTGTGGCCAGGTCACTTCTGAAAAAAAGCTAATATCTGACTGGGCCTTATCTGGTAAAATAAAAAACATTGTTTAGTTTATTTATCTCAGTAACATGCGCTGACAGTTTGTCAAAGGGATTTCCTCACCACACTTTACGCCGTACAGTGGGAATTAGTGAAGCGGGGAAGGCCCTGGGAATGACCCAGACATCAGTTTCCACTGCTCATTTTCTCCATGGCTGGGAATTGAACTTGGATTGCTGGGTTCACAGTGCAGGACATTAACCAATACGCCACCACTCCACCCCCTATTTATTTACTGCAGCCTGTTGTCAATTCATTAGTAAATGAAGACCTACCCAGGCTGTGTCGGTTATAAGGGTTATTTAACCACACTGAAGATTACTTTAGCCACTTCATTCGCACAAATTCTAATGTTTATGAGCACATGTATCCATTTGCTAATTTTCAAGAGCTGACAGTAACTAATGTGCATGCCAGAGTGTTTATTTTTTTGGCCGTGCTTTCAGTTTGAAGTGTGCCCAACATTGTATAGGCATGTGTTTCATACGTTTTGACACGGCCCTGTAAGTTAGTAACTTGGGAAACACATTTTTCAGTTAATCTAGGCTCTGTGACTTGTTCCATCAGATCGCAGCCTGGCAAGTCCACGCTGCCTGCCACATGGCATATTTTAAAATAAACAAAAAATACTGCTGCCGGACTCTCAATTTCCAAGATTATAGTGCAGCACTTGTCAAGTGAATAACAGTGTACCATCATTCAACACGATAGAGAAACCCTAACCACAAGGCCAATTTCCATTCTCCCCACTGCTTCCAAAGAAATCAGAAAAGCATGGCACATGCAACACACTGTTGGGTTTTCCCCTTTGAGATCAAGGTAAGTCCTCAAGACTCTTCCAGAAGGGTCCATCATTGGGACTGATTGAATGTGGGCGGAACAAAGAGTGTCTGGAGCAACATTCACACGTATGAGGGGATAATGCTGAGAGGTCCTCACAGATGGGTTCATAAACCCATTTGCTGCCCTGCCATCTTCCTTGCCACCTTCCAGCCCATCGTATTTGGGAATATCACAAACCTACAAGAGCGACCAATCATTGCCTCGGAAAGCATGCATGTGTAGCCACGTAGAATTGGTCACTACGTTGCATAGCACTGGCTGCTGCCAGGGAAGGGGATCTGCAGAGTGAAGAAGCCCTGACTGACAGCAGGCCACGTGACAGACCCGAGAGGGATCTAGGGTAAAGGTTACAAAGGGGACGCGTCGAGAGCCCCGCTCGTGGGTTCCAGAAGGGGGCCATGGCCTCGCTCCGCCTCGGCCACGCTGACAGGATAAAAGGGTACCCCGAGCGGGAGATCGGGGCTGTCGTTTGGAGTGGTATCCCCTCGTCGTTGTCGTCGTCGCTGCTGTCGCCTTCACCGCTGTCGTCATCCACTTGGTAACTGCGCTGCTAGCTGCAGCTGGCTGTCTTAGTTCAGCGCCGTCAGTGTCGGATGGCGAGCAACCAGTATAGATGTGTTTAAGCGAAAGACAGCGTTGTGTAACAGCAGAGAGTGTGTGACAGTGTGCTCGGTGTTTAATTAAAGAATTGCCTCCAAGAAGTTACGTCTCCAAGTCTGCCTAAAATCAGATTTTTCAAATCATTGTCCACACCCATTCACTTACCTTCTCCGCTCTAAACACATTTAAAGCTTTTAATCACAGGCCCGAAACGCCAAGCGGCCAGCAACAAATAGCACAATTGAAGGTATGACAGATAGGTGTCAACACATTGCTCGAACTGCGCCAAGCTGAGCAGGGGTCAACACTGGACACTGGCGCAGGAAAAGGAATCTCTCACCGGAGTCGGGCTGGGACTCGGCGTTCCTGGACGTCGGCCGCGCTCCACCGCCGCTCCGTCTCCGCCGCTTGGCGCGACCGCGCTCGCCGCGCGCCGTGGCCCGCTTGCTGCGCTGCGCCGGCGCCGCCGCGCCCTTCCGCGCGTCCGCGCCGCCGCCGCCGCCGCCGCTCGGGGGGCTGCCGTCCGGCGAGCTCGGCCGCGGGACGGCGGGCCGAGACGGCGCGACGCCGCCGGCGACGGCGCATCCTCCTCCTGCTCCACCTCCTCCGCCGTGTCTCCCTCTCGCGTGCACCTCCACCGACACCGAAGCATCGCGGCACGGGCCCCCGCCACCCTCGACGCGCGCCGCTCGCTCCACGACGCCAACGTCCACGGCGAGGGCCTGTCTCCCCTGCCCCGCGGGGCACGGGCCCCCGAGGCTGAAGTTCCGTCCGGGAAAATCCACGTCGTCGTCGTGCTCGTCGGCCGCGGCGTTCAGGGTTTGCCCTTCCGCAACGCAGCACTGCCGCTGTCTCGCGTCCGTACCGTCCACCACTTCCTCCACAAATGTAACGTCCCGCGTCTCGTGCTCCGTGCCGACGACATTGGCTTCACTGGATGCAGTACGCCTCTCGCCCTCACCGTGCGACGTCCCGTTGGGGGTTTGGCGCGCTTGAACGTCGCCCTCGACGCTGTGAGTCTGAGCCGCGGTGGCAACCTGACGCACGCCACCGCCGCCCTCGACGTCCCGGGTTTGCTCGGCGGTCCCGACGCTTACGCTCTGCCCTATGAGCCCGCTGTGGCGTTTGGTGGGCCTCCAGTTCTGAGCGTCGTCCACCGCGTCCGTTTTGCCGGCGTGTTTCCCTTCCTGCACCGGCTGCGAGATGGAGATCACCTCCACGTGGTGACTGATGGCCGCCCTGCGGGCCTGGCTACGCCGGGATCCAAAGTGCCTGCCAGTGGCGTGGCGAGCCAGGGCCAGGCCGCTCTCCTGGCTCTGAGGTCGGCCGCGCCCATGAGGCCTCTGCCGTGCCGGCTCAGAGGGGCCTCCACCGCCGCCGCCGCCGCCACCCCCACCCCCGCCCCCGCCGGTGTCCTCAAGGCTGGACGCGATGGTATCCGGCGCCGTGCCGTGCAGCGCACCATACATCGGGACGTCTCGCGAGCGGACGGGGGCTCGGCCGCTGAGCGTGCTCGAGTCTTCCGACAGCCGCCTCTCCGCAACGTTGCCAACCGCATTGCCTGCGCCGGGCCAAATATAACTTGAGGTCAAATTAAATGTGGTTTGCCGACATGGTCCTAGTGCAGCTTCTCGCCGACTCAAGTCAATTTTTCGATCGTTTTCAATTTGAGTAATCGCGTGCCCCTCCCAGCAATATTTTTTTGTTAACCGACTCCATCAAACAGACCGAAGGGATTGTATTTATGGGAAGGATTCCAGCGCGACATTTTTGCAAGGCCACATTGTGCCAGCACGTCAACGTACGCACAGCCCGCCAAGTTGGGCCGCGCGTACGTTGGCGTAGAGAGTGAATTCAATGAATCGGCGCGCCTCATTTTATCCCGAAGTGGTGCTATTACGACTGGCAAATTGCCTTGCAGGAAACGTACTCGGTTTAAAAATATTTCTTCGGCAACGCGTAAATAACACGCCGTGTTACCGAGACACACGCGGCACACACATCTTGCAGCGAATAAACTTTTCTGCGCACAATTAACGCCCGGGCAACAATTTATTAAAAAAAAAAAAACATCCAGTTAATTAAAAAGCCGCGCTCCAATTTAACGCCGCTCCAAACAAAGGAGGTTAAAAGTTTCCGAGCTCCAAGCTTTGCACTCCGGAGACCAATTATGGTGGCTCACCGTCGCTGGAGAATCTGCGCGCCTGGGTGCCCGGCTCCCCCGTGCCCGGCTCCAGGCCTTGCGTGAGAACGGCCGCTTGATGGATCACATCCGGCTGCTCAAGGGTGAGAAAACGACCTGTCACCTTCCCAGCACGAGCAGCAGGGGGGTGGGGGGGGGGGGGGGAGAGAACCTGTGTGATGCGATTGCACAGCTCCCCCACCCCCCCCCACTTCCACCCTCTTTTCAACCCCCCACACCCCCTGGAGGCTGCAAGGTGATTACGGCAGGATGCAACGCAGGTCATTTTGCGAGCCCCCCCCCCCCCCGCCGCCCCCCAAGGATGTCAGAGAAGAAAAAATAAATAACAAACACTCACTATGGCTACATCAGACAAGGCCTTAATGATGCAGCACATCGATGATGCGGGCAGTGCGTAACGCTTTCGTGGTTAATGCAGCTCTCCGAAGCGTTTTCGGTTTTGTGCCGCGTCTTGTTTCGGAACGATGGTCCGACGTTTCGCTCCACGTGCTGGGAGCTTCTTCAGCTCCTCCTTCGGTGCCTGGGGTTGAGCAGCAGGAAGGTCACTTCCTCCCTGGGAGCTGCTCGATTCAGTTGCTGAAGAAGCCCCCAGCGCCTCGGAGGTGGCGCCGAACAACACGCCGCAGTACAACCCGGACAGCGCAGCGGAAAGATAGCGGCGAAGACCGCCACTTTCCAAGGAGCTAAGGCACTCGACTGCCCTTTTATTAACTACCTGGTCGCACATTGAGAGAATAAATTCACTTGACACTTTGATGGCCATCTCAAGCGATGAGTCACACTGCTATATAGGCTTGATGAGAGAATGCAATAGGCTAATAAAGCGATGCCATTATTCAATTGCAAAAGCTTTGTATAAATTGAATTATTAACATGGAGCAAACAGATGAATGAGAAATGTAATGTGTAAAAAGAATACTAATGCTGCTACTGCTGCTGCTGATGGATAATGCACTAAATTATGAAGCACTGCACTGCATCTATATGGATATAATAACAGCTACATCAAGGTTCTATCCACTGCTGAACGAAGGCCTTCACCAGCTGTCATCATCTCTCACGGTCTCAGCAATGCAACGATGCGTACAACTCCTGAACGCGCAATAAAGTAATCGCTTCATTTCCGCAACAGACGTCCTCTCGGGCTGTTTCCCACCTTCGGCTGCTTCTCCGTCGTTAAGTCTCGACCGCCGGCCATGCTCTCTTTTAGCGACGTTTCCTGCCCAAGCCTTCTTGGGGCACCACAGTGGCGAGATGTTAAATACCTCGTCTGGTACGCAGGAGGTCGTGGATTCGATCCCAACCCTGACGCCTGCTGCTGTATATTTGGAGTTTGCGTGTTCTCGCTGTGGTCACGTGGATTTTTCTCCGAGTCCTCCAGTTTTTCTCCCACGTTTAGAAACATGCGTTTAGAGTCTTTGGCTGCTATAAAATGTCCACGTGATGATAAGGCACTTCGTTGAGATACCATTTGTGGCCAGGTTGGTTCTGCAAAAGAGCTACATAGTTCAGTGGCCCTTGCCTAGTAAAAAAAAAACTATTAAATAGTTGAGTTTTATTTTTTTATATGTTCTTTATATATATACGCACAACTACAAAAATAAGGATATTTTCACTGGAGTGCCTAACATATGTAACACGTGTGTGTATATATATGTGCGCTCACTTGTGGTAGAATGATTAATATCTCCCCATACCCACAATGGTGACTCTATGAATTGTTGTGGGTCCAGTCCATAATTCAATTCAAGAATTAATTATTTTTTTAGAGAGCAGTGAGTGGGTACTGCCTTTACTGGCTGCAGGGTTGAAATGAACCCATTAGGTACAAAATACGTACGAAACGGAAAATATAAATAACAAACGTGCGCAATCCATCGCGTGGGCCATGAGCTTATGAATCGGTATTACACGATTAATCGAGGCACCGTTCCACCTCTGCCACTCACATACAAAAGGCCTCCATTGAAAGAGACTCTCAGCCACGCCTCGTGTAAATAAATAATGTATGCCTCTTGTCTCTTGGTGACAAACAAAACGATAAAACACAATCCACTGACACAACCTGACAAATCGTCTATGATCGTCACTCATTATGCGCACTGGGAAACAAAGGATGCGTACAACACTCTTGCTTCGCATCGCGAATGTGGTAACGGCATTTTATTGCCATTGATGGGGGTCAAACACCTTTGAGTTAGGGGTCAGGGTCGAGAGGTCATTGCAGCCATTGTCGACTGACACCACGAACCCTCTCTGCATTGCGTCTTCTGATAGATCCCACAACTATTGAGCAGTTGACACCTGACCCCTAAGTTCCACTTATACAATGGTCCTCTCTTACTATCCCTGGGTCATTGACCTCTGGGTGCCCGCTCCAATTTCTGTATTTTTCACCTGTCTCCACATGCAGCCCGCCCATTACAACCTCCTCCACTCCTCCGAGTTACGTTGACATGATCCTTCCAAGTTGCTTACCCTATCCTGCTATGAAATTCCAAGCATCTTCTGCAAAAAAACAGACACTTCCTTTCTGTGTTAAAGTCCACCACTCTGGCAGGTACAAAGCAACGCAGGCATGAATCATGCCTCACTGCTCCTTCCCACGCCTTTGCCATCACTCTAAATCAGGGGAGGGGAAAACGCCCTTACTTTGGGTGAATGGGACTTTTCAATATCTTTGGCGGGTGACCACACATTAATAACACACACCTTAGCGTTATCCAATAATAACACCAAAAAAAACCGCACGTGCCAACCAAGTAAAAAAAAGAGGCCTTTGCAGTGACAGACGTGGCTGAACGTGCTAAAATTAGAAACGCAGTAGGACTCAATTAGTGCAGCTGAGATGCTTTCGGCATTGGATGAATACCTTTTCCGGGCTGTTTCGTAGTCGGAAGGCTTCGTGGCAGCAGATCTCATGAAATTTTACAACTGAGATTTCGTATGGCGTATAAAGCGGGCCAGCCGTATGAACGGAAGACACGGGGTCGTGTGAAGTGAGGTCAGGGGCCCCCTTCGCCCTCTGGGCTCCTGCCCCTCGCCGATCCCCTTTGTCTTCCCAATGCAATGATGCCTCATCGCTTCTCGCCCCACACGCCCCCTTCCCCAGCTTTCTGTCACAACCCAGCTACGACCAGGCCAATACCGCATCAAAATACACCACCACTTACAATAGTCCAATTCTTCTTTTAAAATCATGATCATCCCAGGCACAAATTGCACAAGTGCTGTACAGGTAAAGGTGCTATATAAATCTCGATAAGACAAGACTAAGATGCTCATAGCGACGGATAAGATATCATTCACGGGCCGTTTCGTGGCCCCTATGAAGTTCAGCCGAAGGCCACGTGAGATGAATACGTGGGCAAGGTTAGTAGAGTCCCCACCGCTGCTGCCGCTGTAAATCCACACGCACGCACACGGGCCGCGTGGCCTTGGGGCCGACGAAGGCGTACCTGGGTGGTACGGGTCTGGGCGACGACGGCCTCGTATGGGGGTGGCAGCTCCCCGGGATACACGGCCTCGCACCCGACCCGTGGCACGCAGATGTCATAGGGACAGTGGATCAGGTGCAGCCGCGACGTTCTACCAAAAGAAAAACACCAGCTTTTAAATAGGCACATCGACCGCCCCCGCAAGCAGCAATTACAATTTTGAAAGAAGGTCGGTGGTTTCTGTCTAAAATGAGCACTGAGGCGCAAGTGCTCAGCTCCTGTTCACAGCCCTGAGCCGGTGGTGGAAATTCCACGGTCGAGTCTAGCCTCAGGACCACACCCACTGGTTGACTTCCACGCAAGCACGGCTCATCCACCCACGAATAATCGAGAGTTAACGCACCGTATGCAGCTGCTGCAATAATGAAACCCACGGAGATACTTGTAACTTTGACGCACGTTGAGAGCGGGGTCGGTGGGTTGCGAAAACATCGCCGCATGTGCGAGACACCGATCTACAGGGCTGGCGAGGTGGTCATTAGAACGCTGGTTGCTGAGCTCTACGGCACAGACCTTGAGTGTTCCAAGTATCTGTGTGGGTTTCATTCGGGTTAATGTGTCGTGTTTCTTCCCCACATGCACACATTTCTCTGCGAGAGAAGTGGCCAAACATCCCACCCCTCTTGGAAAAGAGTCTCGAGACTCCTGTTCTTGATTAATTAATTAAATAAGTGGACGCAATATATTGAACAAAACAACCCACGAGATCCCCTCCTAAGATGTTCAGCTAGTCATCGTGATGAGGCGGAGTTGACGGGATGTCACCCGTTAATTTCAGCGGATCTTATTTCAAATCGCCCTCGCCTGATGACACTGCGGGCATTGTCAAGGCATCTGCCAGGCATGCGCGGGCCTGCCCGCTTCACCGAATGCCATTCACTCCGAGACACACAAACTCATCATTCAGACAGCAAGCTCCACTGCGATGTCTAAACACATTGTGCACCAGAAACCCATTCATACAGTTGATAATATTAAACAATTATAATACTTTCATTTTACGTACCGTCATTCATGCCGGCAGCATACCACAATGCTCATTCTGCAAAGCCTCAAAACATATTCAAGTATATCCAATTAACTACTTGTAAACTAGATTAGGAGGAGCCAAGACAAATCTGCCTTTGTGCCATGTGTAAGAAAACATAAACACGTTATTGTCATGTTTTGTAAAAAGTGACATTGCGAAGACACAGGAACACTGAAATAACCAGCAGGCGCATGCATTACTGTTACGCTCCGAGGATCTGGTAATCATCGCAATGGTTTGGTCATATACGAACTATACTACTACAATAATTAGATTTTACCAGGTAAGGCCCACTGGGCTATATAGCTCTTTTTCAGAAGTGCCCACAAATGACAGCTGAACGAAGTGACTTTTCACGTGGGAATCTGTAGTAGCCAAAAACTCTAAATGCATGTTTTTAAATGTGGAGAGAAAAACCGCAGGACCCGGAGTAAAATCCACGCGACCACGAGGAAAACATGCAAACTCCAAATATCCAGGCGTCAGGGTCAGGATCAAACACACGACCTCCTGTATACGAGGCGAGGGAGATAACACCCCATCACCGCGGCGCGCTCCGAAAACGCGGAGGTCATCTCACCGATTCGCGTCCATCACGGGCGTGTAGGTGTACTCGGGAGGGTAGTAAGGCGGAGGAGGGATGGGTGGCACAAACTCCTCAAAGTCCACCGTCTGGTGCACCAACGAGTTGTGGGTGTTCAAGCAGTCATGCTGGACGTGTGAAGACCGCTGTGGTACAAACTGAGGAGAGCGATAGACCCAACATATTTCTTTAATAATCACACTGACAAATGGCTAATTAATGAAAGGCGTCAAATGGATTTTCATTCAATGCAATAATACCTTTGGTACCAAAATTAACTTTGAGAGATTGTCACAGCCGTATATTAATTATTATTGTTCCTAAGTGACATAGTGCAGGATTATTATGAATACGTATTTAAGCATCCGCGATGAAACAAATTGTAACAATTGGAGGTCACGATGCGATCCAAGAATAGAGCCTAGCGGCCTGCAGTGATCACACAAAACGATACTCAGGTCATCTCACCTATTCGCGTCATTGGAGCGCTGTCTTTCCGACAGTTCTGTTTCTTCACCTGAGGAAGGCTACTTGTGTTGTGGCCAAAACGTCGTGAGAATTTTATTTTATTATGTTTTATTTTTATTATTTTATTATTTCCCTTCTACGTGACTTTACCGAAAGAAGCAAGAAGATGTGGTGCACTCATTTATACTGCCGGGTGGACAAAGACGGAGGGTGGGAGGGCATTTAAGAAACTTACACTCTCAGTTTCAACTGCCGTGCCGAGTAATAACATCGAACCAGCAACCTCCACATTTGAAGTCCAATGAGCTAACCATTCGCACCACAGCAGCGTCCTCAATACAACACACGGACAATGTATGCCACGATTTAGTCCGCGTATCGTGAATTAATATATATTTTTTTAAGGATGAATCACTTCATACTCCTTGGTTCTTTCGGTAAAGTCACGTGAGGTATAGAATTAAATCACGACGTTTCGGGCGCAACACAAGCGTCCGTCATCAGGTGGGACAACCACAACAAGAAACAATTGCTGAAGTAGGCAAAAGGGCTGCGAGTAACAAGAGGCTACATAGGTAAGAGAGGGGGAGGGGGGGAGGAGCCAGGGAGGAGTGAATGAATCACTTCATCGACAGGTTTCCTCATTAGCCCGGCATTGCTACTCGCTGCAACGGGCCACAGGCGGGCGAGGGGGCGTGGTGGGGGCAACGCACCATGTGTATGACGTCGGCGGTGATGATCTGCACGCAGCGCATGGCGGTCGCCAGAGCACACACGATGGTGGCCAGGATGGTGAGGGCGCACACGCTGAACAGGAGATCCTGGCAAAGGCACAGGCGGAAGAACAAAACAACAAAAATCTCACGCTCAATTTCATATGCCGTCGTTCATGCGAATTGCATCTCACAATCGCCGGGGAACCACGGAGACACGAGGCGGAACGGCCGCCGGGCGGTCAGCCGGCGCCGACAATTGCCCCGGAAGAAATCTCTACACACGAAGTGGCGGGTCGCATTAGGCCCGCGAGGCCGTGCAGGCCGTGCAGGCCTCGCGGGCCCCCGCGGCGACGCGAGCGGTGGCTCGAGCCTCCTCGCTCGCACCTTGAGAGCCAGGCGGATGGTGCTGCAGTCCTGCAGGGGGTTGAGGCGCACCGTCTCGCCCAGGTTGGTGCAGCCGCCGGTCTGCTGCCGCTCGCAGCAAACGCACACGCCATCGTCTCCCGGCTTTACCTGCGCACGGACGGACGGACGGACGGACGGACGGACGGACGGACGGACGCGTTATTACTCCGCTGCTGAACTGGCAGAGAACGATTTAACAGCCCACGGCGACAAAGGCGAAGATTCCCCCCGAACAGACTGTTGGGGCAAGTGCTGCTAACGAAGGCCGGCAGCGGCAAACGAGGGGGTGGGTGGCCAGCTCCATGCCCGGTCGCTCTTTGTCTCCCTCGTGGCGATGTTTACACACCAGGTACTCATTTACGGCTGAGTCGACCTAGGGGAGGCCCAGGACCGGTTCAGATAATCGTCGCTGGTGTTGTCCGTCAGCGGGAATCGAACTCAGGCCGCTGGGGTGCATAGCGCAGCGCAGCGCTAACCGCGACACCACCGCTCCCCATAAACAACCCACGGAAGTGTGCTCACCAACAGCAGGAAGGCACAACTCCCATCTTGCCTTGCCTGCAGCTCATGTGACCACCACATGTGCATGGAGCATGCTCTGAGCCCTTCTCTGCTGCTGTTTTGTGAGCTGCACACCTACTGTGTGTGCTGTTAAATCCATTTGTGTCCGGTCTGCACGCATCAATTTTATGGGTTTTCTCATCATTTGGATTCAAACGAGCAGTGATCTTTGGGCGTGTGAGTGAACGGGCCCCCATTTCCACAGCAGCAGTGGCGCTTACAAAAACACACGCAGCAATGAAAGCACTCCGATAATAAAGCGTGTTGCCATAAAAATCATCGAGGCACTGATATCACTGATGCACGTGTGCATCAGTGATGCACTCTACACACACCTACAGAGAAACCCTGATATCATGCTGTTTGAGGAGACCAGATATATTAATTGTTAGAAACATGAATACAATGAATTACAAAACAATTACTAATTACGGCAATGGGTGATTTATCGGATGGACATTAAATACGAGATACTAAGAGAAAATACGCAGTGCGGGGAGACACATCACAATTACATTTTACAGCAAAAAATGCTTTGAGATGCAATCGCCTCTATTTGCTTCACACATCCCCACAGCGGGAATCGAATTCACACATCCCCACCGTCGCACAACTGTATTGGTGTGCGTCACGGCGAGCAACAGCAGCCCCATCTCTTTCGGCAGCGCCGCATCACTCATTAGCGCTCGATAGATGAATGTTTACTATCGCGTTTCTCATTCGAGCTCGTCCTGAGACTCATCCACAGCCTGCGGGAGAGCTCCCCCCCCCCCACCCTCCTGCGCCACGCGCTCCATTCCTGCCGGGTAAATATGCACGCAGCCCAGAGCATTCATTTTCAGCCGGGATTACCTCCGTCGGATCAACCTCTCATTTGGGATTCTCGAAATGCAAACGGGGCGCAGCTGGTCTTTCCCGAGCACCGCTCAAGCCAGGTGCTCCGTGTTGCGAAAGCCCTGGGTGCGTGATGGCAGCAGCAGCAGCAGCATTTCCCTCCACTGACAAGTTAAACCCCTGCTCAAGGACGGCTGAGCCACGTGCACTCTGGGTTGAAGCACGTCCCACCACCGGCTTCGTGCGCCGCCACAAGCAGTGAAATAATTTTCTCAAAGGATCTTCCCCACCGCGCCTCTACAATGCACGCGCAGAGTGTGAACTTGCGAAAAATGACATCATATACGCAAACGTTTCCTCAATACAACCACTTCAATGGGTGACATCTGTTTACGTACAACTCTACTTGGAGATTTTGTCGTTCTTGGGAAGTAAAATGCGCGAGAGGAAAAAAAACTAACGAGCGACGATGATCACGCCACGCGAATTTTTTTTTGTAAAACGGCCATTCTCATTCACCACGGAATCGTGCATTGTCCGACACACCGTGCACAGCAGCATTGTCAACGGTGTAAATGTGCCGGTGAGCAACGGGTAAAGCGCACGCCAGCACTGCTCAGAACGACCAAACAACCTCACACCGGCGCACGTCTTGCAGGGGCAGGTCCTATTCCTAGGACGACGTTTCCACAGCGACGGGAGCGGCGGTGAACGTGGGCTTGCAGGACAAATAGCTTTCATTGCACGGGACCTCTACATTGACCTTTCGACCACTGAGTATCGACCGGAATTTCGCGGTGACCCTAGCCCAGCGGGGTTGGTTCTCAGAGCGCGTTTTGCCCCCGGTACCACCGGGTGCTCTGCGACGGTCCAGGTTGATCCGGACGATAATGACCAACGGCAATCCCTTTTGTTTCGCACATTGTTTAAAAATTTCAACATTGATTGAGGTAAAACTACACTGATTAAACCACCGTAACCTTAAGATCTAAATGCCACCCCCACGCCCTCCAAAAAAAAAACCCTCATAGCTGCGTTCAACCTTCAAATTGGCTACGTACGGTGTGAAAGAAGTTCAACATACAAACATACATTCTATGAATCATTTTGTAGTCCTGGTTTTTAAGAGAGAAGTTAATTCTTTTTGTCACCAGGAGTGGGGTGGAGGGGGGGGGGGGTAGCGGCTGTGTGGGACCCGTGGAAATGTTTGCATCGGCTGAGTGGTCCGCGGGCCAAAACACGTTTTGAGAACCGCTGCCCTCGTCCGCTCGCTGTGTGCACCCACCAGCTGGCAGTGCGTGAGCGAATTGACGAGCTGCGCGTTCTGGCACGACAGGATGGAGCCCGCCAGGTTGAGCATGACGCACACGCCGGACAGCAGCGTGAAGAACGTCACCTGGGACAGGCGGCACCAGCACACACGCAAGGGCAGAGACAGAGAAGGATAAGTGAAGGCAGTACACGTATGCTGGCATTTTAGAGCGGGGCTCTACTCGATTTTAAGACAACGATGACACTCTACGGTTAGGATAACACGAAAATAGTTGGACAAAAGTCTCACCTCTTGCCACGTGCGCCGCTGGGTGGGAGACAATGGGTGGGTGGGGTGGGGTGGGGGGCTTGATGATGTCATCGACATCATAAGCCACGTGGCGCTGGGAGTGTGGCCATTTTTTATTAAACGGCCTTGGTTACTATTGAACACCCAAAAAAAGTTGTCGATTATAAATTTTAGTCGATTACTTTTCATTGAAGCGGCTCATCGGCTCTAATTGGTTTTGCCATGCGCAAGGGGGCGTAATTTATGTGTTGGGGGGGAGTTCACACCAAGGGTTTAGAGTCGGCGTGCGGCTTAATGTTTTACACGGCTAGGATCGAACCGATGTCAACCGTGTGAGCTGTGGCTGGGAATTTAATTCATGTTTTCGAGTTTGTAGCGCTACGTCCAAACTACCACCGATCAACACGTACATACACACACACACACGCTTCCACACCAAGTTAGCTTATGCATCAGTGGGTACCAGGATGGGAATGATGAATTGATTCTTGGTAACTATTGAGTTGTAAGCTCAAGATACACGCGTCAAAGTGCGTGGGCAAGAGTCGATGTGTTCATATGCACCGTGTGTTTCTTGGGCTAGTGTCACAACTGCAGCCAAGAGACACTACTGTACACTGTAATGTAAAACAAGAATAACATTCTTGAATTTAGTTATGACGCTTAGTCGCAACAATACATCGCATCTCTGGGGTGAGTGAATTATTCTACACCCGCGCCACATATATGACTCGGAAACGAACCCAAATCATCAGCATCACAGTAGTGCGCGCTCACCACTACACTACCGCTCCCCAACACACGACAGAGACAAAGTTCCCACCCCCCTCTCCCCAGTAGAGCCTCAACAGACCATTGGGGCAAGTGCTGTGAGCGAGTTGCACCTACAGTGAGGGAAAAAAGTATTTGATCCCCTGCTGATTTTGTACGTTTGCCCACTGACAAAGAAATGATCAGTCTATAATTTTAATGGTAGGTTTATTTGAACAGTGAGAGACAGAATAACAACAAAAAAATCCAGAAGAACGCATGTCAAAAATGTTATAAATTGACTTGCATTTTAATGAGGGGAAATAAGTATTTGACCCATCTGCAAAGCATGACTTAGTACTTGGTGGCAAAACCCTTGTTGGCAATCACAGAGGTCAGACGTTTCTTGTAGTTGGCCACCAGGTTTGCACACATCTCAGGAGGGATTTTGTCCCACTCCTCTTTGCAGATCTTCTCAAAGTTATTAAGGTTTCAAGGCTGACGTTTGGCAACTCGAACTTTCAGCTCCCTCCACATATTTTCTATGGGATAATGGTCTGGAGGCTGGCTAGGCCACTCCAGGACCTCAATGTGCTTCTTCTTGAGCCACTCCTTTGTTGCCTTGGCCGTGTGTTTTGTCATGCTGGAATACCCATCCACGACCCATTTTCAATGCCCTGGCTGAGGGAAGGAGGTTCTCACCCAAGATTTGACGGTACATGGCCCCGCCCATCGTCCCTTTGATGCGGTGAAGTTGTCCTGTCCCCTTAGCAGAAAAACACCCCCAAAGCATAATGTTTCCACCTCCATGTTTGACGGTGGGGATGGTGTTCTTGGGGTCATAGGCAGCATTCCGACTCCTCCAAACACGGCGAGTTGAGTTGATGCCAAAGAGCTCTATTTTGGTCTCATCTGACCACAACACTTTCACCCAGTTCTCCTCTGAATCATTCAGATGTTCATTGGCAAACTTCAGACGGGCATGTACATGTGCTTTCTTGAGCAGGGGGACCTTGCGGGCACTGCAGGATTTCAGTCCTTCAGTGCATAGTGTGTTACCAATTGTTTTCTTGGTGACTATGGTCCCAGCTGCCTTGAGATCATTGACAAGATCCTCCCGTGTAGTTCTGGGCTGATTCGTCACCGTTCTCATGATCATTGCAACTCCATGAGGGGAGATCTTGCATGGAGCCCCAGGCCGAGGGAGATTGACAGTTCTTTTGTGTTTCTTCCATTTGCGAATAATCGCACCAGCTGTTGTCACCTTCTCACCAAGCTGCTTGGCAATGGTCTTGTAGCCCATTCCAGCCTTGTGTAGGTCTACAATCTTGTCCCTGACATCCTTGGAGAGCTCTTTGATCTTGGCCATGGTGGAAAGTTTGGAATCTGATTGATTGCTTCTGTGGACAGGTGTCTTTTATACAGGTAACAAGCTGAGATTTGGAGCACTCCCTTTAAGAGTGTGCTCCCAATCTCAGCTCGTTACCCGTATAAAAGACACCTGGGAGCCAGAAATCTTTCTGATTGAGAGGGGGTCAAATACTTATTTACCTCATTAAAATGCAAATCAATTTATAACATTTTTGACATGCGTTTTTCTGGATTTTGTTGTTGTTATTCTGTCTCTCGCTGTTCAAATAAACCGACCATTAAAATTATAGACTGATCATTTCTTTGTCAGTGGGCAAACGTACAAAATCAGCAGGGGATCAAATACTTTTTTCCCTCACTGTATGAAGGCCTCAACGGCACAAGAAGGCAGGTGGGTGGCCAGCACCATGCACCAATAGCTACGAACCAGTGAGCACCCATGGATACTTGAGACGGGGGGAGGGTGGGGAGAGTGGTGCCAATTATTTTTAATCAATGCAGCAAAGCCGCTTGTGAAGAATCCGCACGGCTGGAAATGTCACATAGCGCAGTCGCCTGTAACGCCCAGTGGCCACCACAACGAGGGTGAGCCGGGCGCTTTAAAGCGACCGCTCGCCTCGACGTCAAAGGCAATGGCCGGGGCACGACTGCGGCAGGCAACCAACGCTCCCCTCCACCGACGTCTTCCCAGACGGCTCCGCCGACGAGATGTGTGGAGCACCCCCCAATTGTGATTCCATCGCGGTGCATAAGCAATGGGGCGAGATGTGCGGCGAGCACGAAGTGGCCAATTGCGTGTGCGCGTGTGTGGGAGGCGAACCTAGCGGGCTCCGATGAAAATGCCAAAATGTGTATCAGCGGAGGTGCTGTTGTTCTTTCCATAATACCCTTCTTCCCTGACCCATGCACGCCCCAGGGTCCCCCGTGGCTATGCTTTTGTGTGTTGATTAGTTTGTGTGAGAAGCTCCGTTTTCTATGTCCCGAGATGATTTCTGGTGGATTTGCCATTAAAGTGCAAAAGGCGCGGTCGCAATCCTCATCGCTTTCGCTCTGTGGTGATTAATCAATCGGCATTCGTCGCCGCCAAATGAATCCATGCAGTCTCAATTCGGTTTTAGCTAATAACTTTGTCGACCCACCGCTGGATGAGAGTCTTACCCATGCTACGTCGGTAATATTCTGTACTCTGCTGTGGTGCCCTTAGTTAACCTCCGGTGTAACGCGGCGCGCGCGATTAAATTAATGATTATCGACAGCTCGTCAATCTGCTCTTTGATAAAGGTCGAGCGATGGCGTGACAATTGTGGGGGTTGCTTGACCATACTTCACCACATCGGTCAGTGCGGGTTTATTGAAGGGAGGGGAGCCAAGGACCACTTTGAGATCACACTTATACCGCTGATGTCAACCGATGCCAGAAATTGAACTCAGGGGTCATTGGGTTCACAGCGCAGAGCTCTAACCACTAAGCGCCGTGCCACCGCTTACTCCGTTACTCATGCACAAATAAATCTGTTCGCTCCAAATGTGGCAGACTTCGAAATTTGACAAATTGCTGCATGCATGGCAACCTCACGTTAATTTATTTTAATCAGCAGAAAGGCTGAAACTGTGCCATCGATCATTTTCATTTTTCTGCCCTCCTTTAATTACAGAAGGCTCAATTATTCCCATGACGGGTTGTAGGAAACGGTGGGAGGAGATGCAAATACATATATGAATATTTCACCATATCCTGCGTAAAATCACATTGGGTTTTAGCGCTATTCACTGCACACGCAAAAAAAAAACCCAAATTTAATTATGCTTAGTCTATGGCCAATTTAGCCCTTTGCGAGTAAGTAATGGCTTACGAGAGCAGTTAAAAAATACATCAAAAGGAGGTGCGAAGGCGAAGGCACCCAGCAGCAATTCAGCCCCAGCACGAATCCCCTTTTGTTCTCGGGTGACACAGCACGGGTGGGGGGGGGGGGATCTGCATCGACCGGGCCCCATTCAGCCAATCACCAGCCAACACCAGTGACCACACGAGGCATTTGGACGTATCGAAAAATAAATTTGCCGCAGCAGATATTAGAACCTCCATTCCTATCGGCTTTCTGTTACCGAGCATTAGATTTTGTTGGGCAATAATCCCATATATAAAAAAATGATGGAAATTGCAGCCCGAGCTTAATTTATTCTGCAGATCTCCGCGCAAGCCTCTCTGAAGTGAGCACATTACAGTGTTGTCATTCCATGCCCTGGGCTGTAGTTGAGTGTGCTCCGTACTTAATCGGCAGACCGTATTTTTTAAACGCATCTCTTAAAGATAAATTTCGAGTTGAAACAACGAAATGCGCAAACCTTCATTTCGTTCATTTGTTAACATCTCAGCCCGTGGAAAAATCCATCATTGTAAGCAAGAGATGTAAGCTATTTCCATGGTGCCTGCAGAACAGGAGCCTATTTGCATGGTAATGGCATATAATCTACACAGCTGATGCGAATGGAAAGCTGGAATTCCGCAGATAACAGCAGGAACAGACAACAGAGAAGAACCGTAATGGGTTTTTCTCAAACCGTTCGAGCTGCCCGACACCAATTCAACATTTTTTTTGGGCTGGTCATTAGTCAACGCTGCTTTACAATCAAAAGGAATGCTGCCCAATTACCTCTGCCAATAACAAGACTAAGTAAATTACTGGCTCAGCCATGACGCAGCAACGGTGTGC